AATATTTCTAGAGATATTCTTGATTCAGTGTTTTACTGTTCAAGTGGAACCACCTATGACGTCATCACTTTCCTCATTTGCATAACACAAAAAGGTAAATATCTCTAGAACGAAAAAAGATATTCCAAAACGGGAAACGCCATTCTTCTTTACTTTGAAAAGCCTTTCAAATAAGCAGCAATTATTTTTTACTTCATAGGCACTTTAAGCTGGAAGGTGGCGGAAGCGTGATCTAGGATACGGAAACAGTCATTGGAGCATGAAGTGCGGCATTGCTGAGAATTTTGTAAGTGTTTGAAAATGTGAGAGGTCCTATCACTGAACGTGTGCTCGCGTACGCGCGTGGAAAAATGCCAGGTGGTTTCGCCGACATAGCAGGCATTACAAAATTTGTAATCTAAACTGAAGACGACAGAAGATTCTGTTGAAACATGTATTTAAAAAACGTTGTGTTGTTTCTTAAAATTTTAATTGTATGTACCTATCACAGAAAGCCAAAGTGATAAATTTACCTTCTATCTCTTCAAGTTTCTCCTTGATGCTGTCGTCATCTTTCTCCCATTGTTTCAGGAGTTCACGAAAATGCTCTTCCATAGCAGGATCCATGGTATCATGCTCAAGATTGTCGATGTATCCCTTAAAGCTTGTCCCTCCCAATCTGATCAGGGCTTCACGGATTTCCTGCCAGTAAGTGTTGAAACTTGTATCATCAACAGAGGCTTGATTAGCATGGCCGTATACAGTGTTCCTGTAATACTTTACTCGGGCGATGTCATCTGCGGTGCTTGTGTCTGTGGCTTTGGGGAGACTATCCCAACCAGCGGCAGGAGAACTGAGACCACAAATATTTCTAAGCAGCACCGTTAGAAGAGTGATATCAAAGCTTGCTGATGTCACAGGTGAATGAACAGGATAAAGCTTTCCCCATTGTGCAGGATTAAGCACTTTCTTCACTTTCTTCTTTCCTTTAGAACCAGTGTAAAGTGCCCAGAGTGTAGGTTTATGACTTATTAAAACTCCATGAAGAGTCGATGGAGGATGTATTTTATCAAAAGTGTCTCTTAGTGCTTTGGATCCCAAGTCCACCAAAAGACGGCACAACCTGGCATAATTAGTCGTCTCCTTGGAGGACACAAACGGTGATGATCCAGAAGCCATAAATGGACCCCCCAAAAAACCTACAAAAGTATTATTTTTTTGTTCTCATATTAAGATGAAAATTGTTGAGATCAGTGAACTAAAGAATACCATATGAAATATATAATTGTCATTCCAATTGACTTCTGTCCTCGCAACGGCCACAATTGACATTAAGTGCTGAACATACAGCGAAACCTCTAATAACTAGACACTCTCAGAATTTTCTCTTGTGTCAGAGAGGGCATCTGCTCAATAGAGGTTGTCAAGATTGCACAATATTTGTGGGCAAATAAAGTTGAACAGTTTCCCTATAATCAATTTGCATATTGTTAACGAAGCTATCCTGATGTCAAGTTCCCGACCAAAATTAATAACTTTGGTACTTATGGACTGCAGTAGAAGGTATCCGCTTAATACAGGTTTGACTGCAGTTAAAGTGCAAAAGGTCAATGTAATCCAGTGTTACGCACCAACGAATAATGCCCAGGAGGATTGTAAAACTGTCTTCTACGGAAGGTTGCAGGCAGTTATTAACAAACAAGCTAGTAGGGATGTAATACTGTTGATGGGGGCCTTCAATGTTAAGATAGGCAGTGACAACACTGGAAGGGACCAATCAATGGGGAAGCACGGTCTAGGGGAAATGAAAGAAAATGGGGAAGTGCTTAATGATTTCTGTACCTTCAACGACATGGTCATCGACGGGAGTGTCTACCCTCACAAAAGGGTCCACAACAGTAACCTGGTTATCTCCTGATCATGCAACCGAAAATAAGATAGACCACGTAAGCATCTGCCGTAGGTTCCGTAGGTCACTCCTTGATGTCAGGTCAAGAAGCGGAGCTGATACTGCTTTAGACCATCACCTTGTAACAGAGAAGTTCCAGTTCAAGTTGAAAGCAATCAACAAAGCGGCAATGAGGACAAGTCACAGATAGAATGAAGAGCTGCTGCAGGACCCAGATATCGGAAAAAAGTACCAAATCCCCTCCGAAACAGATAACAACTCCTAGCAGACATACATGAGGAAGGCGAGGAGTCATTACTAGTTCCACTTGAAGAAACACCTAGAGCAGAGGCAGTGGAGAGCACATGGAGACTGATCAGGGACTCTTGGAAGGGGGCATGTGAAGAAACACTAGGTAACAAAACAAGACAACACAAAGAGTGGGTCAGCTTGGAGATGGCAAAGAAAATTGAGGAGTGAAAGGAAATGAAGAACGGGTTAAACAATAGCAGTGCCCAGAGGGCCAAGAAGAAGGCACAAAACGAATATGCTGGAATTCATAAAGGGGCGAAAAAAGCATCATACAAGACAAAAGAAGATACATTGACAACCTCACACAACAAGCAGAGGAAGCAGCTGGAAAAAGAAATATGAAAGAAGTGTACGACATCACCAGAAGGTTAGCAGGAAAGCCAAAGGTAGCAGTCAGACCAGTGAAGGACGTGGATGGGACAGTGCTTACAAACCAAAGTGACCAGTTGAAGAGATGGGCTGAGCATTTTGGAAAGCTGCTCAATCGACTACCACTGGCAGAGCCAGCTAGGATTGAACCGACCGGAAACCCACTGGAGATGGACACAAGCAAACCAACAAGACTGCAGAGGCAATAAAACATTTGAAAGTAGGTAAGGCTCCTGTCCTACGTGACATTCATAGACTACGAGAAAGCATTTAACAGCGTGGACAGGGAGGTGCTATAGAGCTTGTTAGAGCACTACAGACTTCCGGAGAGGCTCATTGCACTCATCAGGAAGACCTATGACCATTCCACTTACAGAGTTGTTCACTGCGGGTTGCTATCAGAGCGTGTTGATATTCTGACTGGGATGCGATGCGGATGTTTACCGTCCCCTATATATGCTCTTCCTCCTTGTAATTGACTGGATAATGAAATCAACTCTTGTAGGTTAAAGACTCGGTATTCAGTGGACTCTAACGACCTGTCTGGAAGACCTGGACTTTGCCGATGATTTTACAATGTCGCACACCCTTACAGACATGCAGGAGAAGGTGGATAGCTTAGCTGCAACATCTTAGAAGGCTGGGATGAGTATCAACAGAAATAAGACGGAGGTGATGAGAATAAACAACGGGTACAAGGAAGTGTGAACCTGAATGGAATCCAATTAAGTGAAGTTGAGAAGTCCACATACTTCAGAAGTATGGTGAGCAAGGATGGTGGTTCAGACAGAGATATTGCAGCAAGAAGGGCAGCTTTCATCTGTCTAAGTCCAGTACGTATGAAGTTCACCCCTGATAGGTAGAAAGACTAAGCTTTGCATCTTCAACACAAATTAGAACTCTTACGTTGCTCTGAAACCTGGAGACCAACCAAAACCACCGCCTCAAAAAAGATCCAGACTTTCATAAATAAGTGTCTCCGAACAATTTTACAAATTTATTGGCCAGATACCATCTCAAACGAAGACCTATAGCAAACACAAGGACAATAGAAAATGAAATTGCAGATCAAGAGAAGAAGCTGGGTTTGGCTGGGACACACTTTGCGAAAATGAAATACCAACAACACGAAGGAGGCCTTGAAATGGAGCCCACAGGGGAAGGGGAAGAGAGGGAGGCCAAGGAACAGCTGGAGGCAGTCAGTGGAGGGGGAGATGACGGAGGAGGGCTTCAACTGGAAGAAGTTTGAGAGACATTCACAAAACAGAGAGGGATGGAGAGAATTCCTTAAGGATCTATGCCCATCACGGGGTGAAAGGGTTTAGGTCATTCCAGTCCAAGCCGAATAGGTCATTTCTGAGTTACCTTGTGCCTCTGTTTCAAAACGAGACCTCGTTCAAAACCTTTCATAACAAAGTGAGTTCGATTTACATGAAAATAAACCTCTGTGTGAAGACTCGTTTTCACACAGAGGCAAAACCCATCTCGAAAAGGGTCCATTAACCTTATAAGCATGAAGCATCTGAAATTCTACTACACTTATTTTTCGTAAGACAGATATGCCTTACCGTCTGTGAATGTCTTATTGGAAGTTTTCAATCGTCAAGAAATAACACTGTCTCAGATCCAATGGTGATTTATCCTGAAATTAAGAGAAACCAAGAGTGACACCGGAGTACAAAGTAGAAAACAACTCAAGGCCAGACAAGGCTAGTCGAACTGAACTGACGTCTTTATTTTAAACATTGTCTGAAGATGGTCAAACCAAGTGAGCAAAGGCTGTCAATTTTCCCGGTTCCCAACTCTTAGTGAAACCCCTCGATATTATGGTACTGAATTAATTAACGCTTCTTTCAAATTGTAATAAAATTTTATATAGAAATATATTTCAGATTTTTTACACCAGGAGTAGTGAATACTCACATAGAAAAAATGCACAATAAATACCAACCACAAAAACAGGTTAGGACTAAAGAATACTTTTGTACAATCAGTTAAGCTACATATATTGCACATATGATTTATAAATTAATGGATAAAGTATTCTGCTTCAACCCCCAATACAATATATAGAGGGAATTGGAAATCACATATTTTTTGTATAGATTACATACCTTTTAAGGAATTTCCCGTTAACGTTTGCCTGCCACCAAAAGTTAGAACTGTATCTATTTAGGGGAGGTGACTACTATAATTCCTAAAAGGAACAATGACTGAAAGTTACACATGAAGCTGTAATGTAAAGCATTTACATTGCATTAAGAAGAGAGTTACATATGTTTGAATGTATTACTCGCCTTATCCGAGATTCCCCTGAGCATTCATTAAGAAATATAAGTGTCCCAGGAATTGATACACAGTGGCCACTTATTTCTGAAATGAATAACAATCAAAGCATGAGACATATGTACAATTACATATAGAAAAGGCAAATTTGGGAGATTTAGTTTATTTAGATTAAGTAGCTGAATTTGGGCCCCACTTATCTTAAAAGTTAACACTCATCCGATAAAAATCAATACAAACTACACCTGAAAATTAAACAATACAAAGTGTAGAGTCAAACACTGAAACAAACATCAACTCCAACACCATCTCTACCTGAAAACCAACACCACACTACTAGTATCTACCACCATCACCCACCACCCTATACTCCTCACCACTACCACTAACAGTACCACTTTCATCTGAACCAATACAAGTAAAAACACCATCTACACAACCTCAACCACTGTATCAATACGACAATACTATCACCAACAACAAAAACACCAGAATGTATGTACTTTCAAAATATGTACCATCAATAACATCAGCACCATCAAAGCCAATGGTGTCCATATTCTATCTAAATAATCACCACCATCAACGCCACTGACACCGGCTATCCCTCACCATCAATGCAACCACTGACATCAGCACCACCAACACCAAGGTGTGCCTTCATCAACTATACAATCACTAAAATCAGCTCCACTAAAACCGTGGCATATTTTTAAAATCCATACAGCCATTACCGTCAGCACTATCGACACCACGGTATACCTTCACCATCTATACAACCACTTACATCAGCAGCGCCACCACTAGGGTGTACTTTCCTCATCTATGCAGCCACTACCATAAGCACCACCAACACCAGGGTGTACCTTCGCCATAATCCAGCCACTTACATCGGAATCCGCATAGAACCACTTACATCAGCACCACCAACACCAGGGTGTACCTTCACCATCTATACAACTACTGGCACCAGCAGCACCAGAACTAGGGTGTACTGTCATAATCTATAGAACCACTACCACGAGCTGCACCAATGCCAAGGTATACATTCACAATCTATACAACCACTGACATCAGCATCATAAACACCACAGCGTACTTTAACCATCTATAGAAATACTGCCATCAACACAACCAACACCAGAGTGTACCTGTACCATCTATACAACCACTTTCAGAAGCACCACCAACACCAAGGTGTACCTTCAACAACTATACCAGCACTAACATCAGCACCCCCAACAGTAGGGTGTACTTTCACCATCTAAACAACCAGTAACATCATTACCACCAACACCAAGGTGTACCTTCAACATCTATACCAGCACTAACGTAAG